ATCTGTATTAAAAGTAACAGTCTAAAAAAGCAAACTAGTACATACTTCCTTTTCAATAGACGAGAAAAGCCTGACAAACAAAATGATAGGCATGATTGCAGAACCAAACCTGGTACCGAGGCCCCTTTATTTTCTCTCCAGTCTACCAGTTACATTCTCAGTTCTATTTCACATTTAAATATCTGCCATGAATTTTTTTTTTTGAGACAGGGTCTTGCCCAGGCTGGCCTTGATCTCACAATTCTCCTGCTTCAGTCTCCTAAGTGTTAGGATTATGGGCAAATGCCAACACGCCCAGCCTTTGCCATGATTTTTAAAAGCTAGCCCTTAAAAGAAATTTCATGTTTATGATATTATCATAAAGTATAAGGAAGCAATATCATTCTAAGTTAACCATACACTTAAATGTTATAATGAACTTATTTGGTTTCTTACTTAAAAATAGATTTTAGTAGAAATAGCATTTCTTATATTTATATTATAATCATGGATTTAGCAGTTCCCCATTGTTTAAATGAAATTGTAAAAGAAAAATAATCTGGCATATTGGTAGTGAGCATAATTTGTGCCATTGGGAAATTCAAAGATGAAAGAATTTTTCATGGCCAATGGGGTATTGCTATGGGCTAACAAGAGATGGTTTTATAAAATCTAGCTAGAGAAAAAAACATTTTCATTAGAGAGCTTTCCTAAATTCCAGGTCTGGAAAGTAATACTACAGTAGAAAGGAAATTTTAAGTTTCTATGGAAAGACTGTCAAACTATATATCACTCTATTATACACAGGTTAATTAGGCTAGAAAATGGTAGAACAACAGCTATTACAGAAGTAAGACAAATGTTACATAATTGACACCAACCAAACTTCAGTATAATAATCACATTATTTTGAACACTAAATAACAATACTTGAAGTACTTATAGCTCTTCTGTAAAAGGAAACACTTGATTTCTTAAGACCTGGTAGTGGTATTAAATGCACAATGCTTATTAGACTTACATTTTCCTTTAAAACACACAGCCGTTCAATCACAAAGCTTTTTTTGTTAGATCTAGACTAAAATTCTATGAATTAGAACAAAAAAGTACTGAAAAATTGGCTAGCTTGTTCAAATAAATCAATTTGAAAGGATTACAGATTAAGTTGACAGTTTGAGTATTATGAGAAAAATGGAAGGTTGAATTTTTAAAACTTTTTAGAATGATACAGCAAGAAATTCTGTGTATAATACAATTTTTTGACAGGAACAAAGCAGAAATAAAATAGCTTGTAATTCTTATAAAAGGCATGAGGTGGTGCTGCATTCTACCAATTCGAGTAAATTCACATAAGTACAAACAGTACTGTTATTTCATTTATTTGTCATATACGAATTTAACGTACTTTCATTCATAATATATAAGAAAATGCTGAAAAGTACAATTTACAACTAGTAAAGGAGAAAATAGATATCAATACAGGTAAATTTTTCTTATATCACTATAGTGACCATTTTTTCTGGCATATAAATTATGTACTATTAAAATTTTAGGCTAACTAGAATTAGTAAGCAGTAGATCTGGTATAGATTTAATTAGAGGGGAAACTTACATCATCATCATTATTTTTAAATTAAGATATCCTCTGATAAACTGAAGCTATTTGCTTTCCGTATGTTCAGAGAAATAGGCAGAAATACTAAACTCTTTAACTTATGAAGGGAAAAACTGATATGGACTATGTCCTAATTGGTAAGGTGAATTGATTAACATTTTAAAAAAGAAATTATTGTAACAAAACTATTTGAAGCTTTCACAAAAATTAACACAGTGAACCATTTAAGTTTGACATATTTATATATTTGTACTATCATATAGAAAGACATATAAAACATCTATATGGTGTACCACCCATGTATTTGGTAAGCATACATAAGACATATGTTGTAAGTAGGTAAAGCATACATACATACAACATATGTATGTATGTCTAACATGTACAGGCAACCACATATATGCTTTTCATGCATATAACATACACTGTACATGTATAAAGCATAAGTAGACTTAATTAGGAGTCTAAATATAGGAAGTATATTCTGGAGTTCACAATGGATGATTTGTGGCCTACCCTAATTTTAGTCATGAATGGCCTTAGCAAACAAGTTGAAGCTATTCCTCTCTCTCAAAAGAAAATTCCTGACATTCCTTGAACATTACAGAACCTAGGCAAATGGACAGAATTCAGGATTAAAAAAAGAACTGCAATATAGTATCTAGATGTGGGCTATGGAAAGTCACTGTAAAGATCTTACTTTCCCCCTCTAATCCAAGTCTTTTATTAATTGTGGGTTTTAATCTGGCTGCTACAATGTACTCCAACAACACCTTTAAAAAAGAAAGTAAATAAATAAAATCTGGCTGATGGATGTGGTGGTGTGTGACTGTTAATACAGCTACTCAGGAGGCTGAAGCAGGAAGATTGCTTGACTCCAGGAGTTCAAGGTCAGTCTGGGCAACACAGAAAGTCCCTATCTCCAAAAGAAAGAAAAAAGAAGAAAAGAAAAAGAAAGAAAGAAAAAAGAAAAGAGGGAGGGAGGAAGGAGAAAGAAAAAAAATCTGGTTTATGCTTTGTACCATATGACAATTTCCAAATTTGTGAAAAGTTTCTCATTCTCCATCCCAATTCCATACTCCGTTCCACATGAAATTGAGGTACCCAAACTTGTTTAAAGTAGATTTCAAGTATCTGAAGAAAATTAATTTAGCCATCCTTTTATTAATTTATTCTGTATTTTCATAACCAAATACTTATCAGAGTGGTTATAAAAACTTAGAAACGTGTAAGTTGTGAAACTAAAATTGCTTCAAAGCAAAATAAAAACAGAACTGAAACCTGCTGAATAACAAAAGGGCCACAGATTTAAAAAAAAAAACATTTCAGCTGAGCTCATCTAAGAAATACTGGATGGTAAACAACAGTGGGAAATATCATGATCAGAAACAGGTTATAAAAAGGTGAAAAACACAAGTCTAAAAAATATTTCCAAAAGACAAGTTTTCTATGAAAGTCACAGAATTAAAAAGTTGACAGTATGCCAACTTCTTTGAATTGTTGAAGTCTTAACACCTTTTACCTAATTCCCAATTATGATTACCATCATTCATTCTTCTTGACTTTTGAGATGCAAAACCTAAGTGGACTCTTGTTTACACAATTGCTATGGCCTACAGACTAATTTTGGCATTATCTATTAGATCCGCCCCTTCCTTAGTACACACAAAGCCGCCACGGCCAAACAATCATTACTTCATATCTGGATAACTGTCAGTCTCTCAGCTAGTCTCTCTAATTTGAGGTCTCCATATACAACACTAGAATTTTTATTTATTTGCATTATGGATGTTTGAACTCAGGGCCTCATGCTTGGTAGGCAGGTGCTCTACCACTTCAGCTACACCTCCAGCCCTAGAATAACTTTTCTTAAACTCTACTTTCACCATGTCATACCCATATAAATACCTATAGCCACTTCTTAATTCTATGATAATATTAACAAGTTAAGTGAATAATATTTGCCCCCAGTACTGTGCCAAATGCTTCATATATGTTAGAAGATTCAAATCTTTCAAAACATACTAACAAAAATCATCTTCAATTTATAGAAAAGGAAACAGACCTAGAAGGCAGGCTGATAAAAAGTTCTCACAGTTATTAAGAGAAAAATCTAGGATTCAAGCTCGGGTCTATCTTTATCCAATTCTCTTCATCAATACCTAGAACACTGCTTTGCACACAGTAGCCAGTCAATAAATATTTGTTGAATTGAAATATTATGCTATACTCCCTTGGTATATGTACTGTTAATAAGCAAATGCAAATTTTTATTTTTTAATTCATTGTCCATATTTTACATTAAACAAACTAGCTGGCATACATTACCTGTTTAAAAATTATTTGCCAAATTATTTCTGAATTAAATTAAAGGAACTGTATTGGTATTGGCTTATAATGGCACAGAGAAAAAAATCTTATTATGCTTTAATGAAATCTATATTAATATTTATTTATATCTCCATGCTGGTTAAAATTGCATTTATTTACACTTTTGAACGAGATAAACCATAATTATTTAACTAAGTTAATTTTTTAGCATTTAACTTAGTTGCAAAATTCAAAAAGTTTCCATTGGTGAAAAATAATATTGTCGGAGCACTACATACTGTGTGAACATGCTGGACATGCACACCAAATTGCTTAGGGTGTATAGATTCCTAAACAGTCTGAACAAAATTCCTTGGAGATAGTGTTTTAAAATTTTAATATAGAACAAATGTCACTGTCTAGCAATTTAAAGATATAAGGGACTTCAGAGTTCAATAACAAATACAGAGTTGTTATTTGAAACAAAAATGTAGCTCTTGAGAACAATCAGTTCAGTTTTCTAACAGCAGTTATAGTATGTGGTCATAACCATTTTTCCCTCTTTTACAGAGGTCTCTAGGTGCACATTTTTAATGTATCCTAGCAGTTTCCAGTTAATGTTTTATATTTCTGTAGCTATTATTTTCTGTTGAAGGAAAACTAGTAAAGGTTGAGTCAAGAAAGGGAAAACAAAGGAAGAAGATCAATATTAACACTCTACAAATATTGACTTAGCAAAGTGACTTTGTTGTCTTTCTCTCATAGGAATTGATAGAATGAATGATTTATTTATTAAAAAACACCTATGATTTGTTAAACAACAAAAATTTGCTTGCCAAAGTATATAATTAGGTAATCTATTCATCAAGTTCAAAAATTCAATAGTAAGCATTTTCAAAGTGAAGACTTGTAACAATACTCTTTTCATTATTTTTGTTACTGTTGTAACTGGCTTAAGGTAGAAATGCTGCATTCCACAGGAAAAACCTCAAAGAGTTAATTCACAAACTTTATTGGTTCTCTATAAGCACTGAGTAGTTATTAATAGACCTAATATCTATTTTTTTTCAGAAAAAGTTAATTTAATATACTGTACCTTTAAATTTGGCTCAATTAACTTTGGGTTTCGGTTACTATAAGCACTCATGGCAATTGTGAAGAAAACAGATGTTTTGAACTTTCTAGTTGTTGACAGTAAAGAACTCCTTATGTCACCTGTAACAAGTAACAGTAATTTGGTCTCACATTATGAAAAGCTGTTAACAGGAAGGTCTATTGTATTAATTTCACTCTCTTTGTTCTTCCTATTGAAATAAAGTCAGAAATTTTATGTTTATCAGGCTTCAACAGTCCCTAATTTATGTGCTACTCATAAGATTCTTTGTTTCAATATCACCTTTTAGTCAGAAATTTTAGTTTTAATGAAACATATGAGCATAGCCCAGTCAAGATCCATGATAAAATTCTACTTCATTAGATTTTTATAGCTTAGAATCTAGAAATGGTAGCTAACAAAAGTTGGATTCTTATTTGTTTTTTCACTGGTAGGCTGAAATGAAAAAGAATTTTGTTCAAGTTATGACTCTTCATTTCTGATCAAGACATTGTTAGTGTTGAAGAACAGGTCATGCTAAGGGAAGGTCACTAATGGGAGAGGAAGGGTAAAAGAAGGAAGTAAAGAAGGTGAATATGGTTGAACTTTCTATACAAGAAAGTTGAAATCACCATAAGAAGGGGTCTAAGGTAGAAAGGACAAAAATAGAGAGAATGAACCAATTTGGGTTATAATACATATATATACATGGAAATGTCACAATGAAACTTCCTGTATAGTGATCTTAAACAAACAAAAATGTCTTTTTTTCAAAAACCGAGAACAGAAAGGTAAAACAGGTCCTGTCTGGGGATTGTTACCAGTGGAAGGGGAAAGGATATAAAGAAAGGGTGAAAGAGGATGAATAAGGTGGAAATACGTACTCTTGTATCAAAATAGAAAAATAAGGCATGTTGAAACTGAGGGAAGGGAAGATTAAAGGAGAATGATGGATGGGATGAATTTAACTAAGATACACTAGTAAGTACTTTTGTAAATGTCACAATGTACCTCTAGTACAGCAATAATATGATAATAAAATTTTTTTTAAAGAAATTCTTAGTGTTGAAAGTAAATACCTTTACTTGAGAATGTTTCCTGGTCATTTTTCCTCATGATCCTAGGTGATGATTTGGGTACTGGTGATGGGTCCCTTTCAAGGGATCCTTCCATATGGCTTCCAAATTGTTGACGCTTCAGTTTACTGTCAACCTCCAGTTTTTCTAGTGTAGTCTTGAGACATTGCTCATTGGTTGTCATATACAATTTGTAAAACTATAAGAAATAAAAAAGTAGTCCAGTAGGTAAAACAGTCAGTCATACATTTGGGAAGAAGGCAAATTCACATTAGTAGGCAAGGGACAGACTAATAGATGGAATATATTTCTTGTTCAACTTGGTTACTCATTTTATTTTCTTGAATTAGATTGACCAGCCTCAAGTGACCTAGTGAAATGTAGCCATGATTCAAAGAGGAGGTCATACTGAGTGAAAATAAAATGTTACACAAGGAGAGGGGATTTATTTATTTTTTATAAGACATGTAGACTTGTGTTTTCCTCTAAATAATTTTGATGATTCTTCTACCCCAGGAAAGGTATATTTCTGAGTCTCTTTGCTTGTTTATGTATCTGCATGTACACATACACATTTCTGAACTTGGTTATACTGGTTGAGTAGTCCTTATCTGCAGTAGTTGTATACATGGGGATAGAGCCCATGTCTATTGGGGGTAGATCCCAAATCCAAATGTAAAATTCACCTATATTTCATATACACCTAATGCACATGGCCTAAAGGTAGTTTTATACAGTATTTTTAGTATTTCTGAATTTTGACTGCTCCTGTCACTTTAGGCATATGGAATTCTCTACTTGCAGAGTCATGTCTGCACTCAAAAAGTTTCAGATTTTGAAGCATTTTAGATCTTAGAGCACTTTGGATAATGTGTTTTCATATCAAAAATACTCATCGGTATTCCTTTTTTTTTTTTTGCAGTACTAGGGCTTGAACTCAGGGCCTTCACCTTGAGCCACTCCACCAGCCCTATTTTTTTTGTGAAAGAATTTTTTGAGATAGAGTCTCCTGGAACTATTTGCCTGGGCTGGCTTTGAACTGAGATCCTCCTGATCTCTCCCTCCTGAGTGGCTAGGATTATAAGCATGAGCCACCGGCACAAGGCCCTGTGTCACTTTTGATGTAATCATCAGATTACAATTGTGGTACTGAAGAGAATACATTTAAAGACAATGAGTGCCCAGTATACAACTAGATCCTTGTATATTAAAAAGATATTAAATATCCTTTTTTAATATTAAAAAAGTAAAAAATACTTTTATAGGGTTTGAGGTGGAGCTAGTGGTAGAGCATGTGCTTAGCGTGCCTGACACAAACAAAACCAAAAATATTTTTCTGATATTAATTAGCTTTATTTAAACATTCTATAATGTGAAAATATTACATGTATACTGCAAATATATACAACTTTTGTAAATTATACCTTAATAAAGCTGGGAAAAACAAAATTTAAAAATTCCTACACGGTATGCAGCTTTACATCAGAATGTGCTTATGTACCTTAATGTAATCAAATTTGCCATCAGCATTTACATCAGCCAAATTTATTATGGCATTTACTTCTTCTTGAGTCATCTTTTCACCTCTCTGAAATGAAACGAGATTTTAAAACATGATTGCCACTTTGTTGTTCATGAAGATAGTAAAAATACATTTAAATCTTTTCTACAAGTAAGTTTGAATATATTTCATTATAAATCAGAATGAGAATTATGTTAAAAAGTCTGTCATATTAAGCAAAATTTCACAATTTTATTAAATTTTGTGAAAATGTACTGAATTTGAGTTTACTAAAACTTAACAATTTTTTTATCATGGAATCAGTAATAACTGCTATTGAAGTTAGAGTAATGGTATTTTCTAACACTGTGACAAAAAACAGAATGGATTTCTAATCCCATTTATACTTTGTTTTCCTTTTACTTATCAGATATGGACCTAGCATTGATTTTTCAATGAGTTCTGGGAAGGAAAAAATTGCATAGGAGCACAAAGGGATTACAACATAGGCTCAATTTTCTACTTTATCATTTATTTACAAAGCATTTTTCATCTAGAATAAATAAAATGTATGTGACACATTTCATCTGTCAATGAAATAATTATTTTCAATACATAATTATTTTCAATCTAGCCAAAGCTAGATTCCATTTTGCAAATATGCACATTATGAAATAATTTCACAGATCTTACCTTTGTTAGAAATTTATAAAGGTCAGTGTGTAAAATAAAGCCATCATCATTTACATCTAATTGTTTAAATGATTTAAGCAGTTCTACTTTTGAAGTTGGTTTTTCCTTCCTCAAAATTATACAGAAATCATCAAAATTCAGTTTGGCAGTTTGAGGAGTCCAATACTTATTAATGGTCTTTTGGGATGGATTTCTTCCTGCATGCTGAAGAGCTGCCCAATAAAACAAGCATTATTTATTATTGTAACATTTGGAATCGGTGTTTAAGTGTACTTTTTCAAATCATTATATATTATATTGAGCAAATTCCATTTTACCAATATATTTCTTTTGGTGTTGACTATCTAGTTCAATCAATGTATGCATGACCTTTGAAAACAAATATATATATATGTACATATGTATTTGTACATATTACATGTACATATATATTAAATATATAATTATATAGTATTATATGTTATATTCACTATTAACAGAATCAGAGAGAGGGCATATGTGTTTTAGGATTCCATCCCCAGCCAACTCCCACCCCTTAAATTTGGGAATACAAATAGAACCTAGATGAAGATATAATATGAAGGTCAAAACCCATGTTAAAAAATTATATTTTCTGTCCAACTTTGGACATATCTAAGATATTTATACAATCTAGTTACAAGTAACTAATTTAGAATTGGCTAGAGTTCATTAAGTTTAACAATACTGAAAATATTACATAACTGTAGATGTTTAAAGGTTGACACCAAGATACTGATCTTTTGCCAGATTCTTGGCAAAAGCTTTTACTCTAAGCTTTGACACGTATCTAAAATACCTGTATTGTTAGTTCGAGAAGAATCAAAATAGAAAGTAACACATATGTACATGGAAGCAATACTAGGACTCTCCCTATATAGCTATCCTTACCTCAACTAGCAAAAACCCCTGGTCCTCCTTATTAATGTTTATACTCTCTCTTCAACAAAATTAGAGATAAGGGCAAAGCAGTTTCTGCCTGGCAGCGAGGGGGTGTGGGGAAGAGAGAGGGGACAGGGGGAAGGGGGGAGTAATGACCCAATCATTGTATGCACATATGAATAAAGGAAATAAAAATATCTGTATTATTTATAAATCAACAAAAAAGGAACTCTAAACTAAAGCTCTGGTAATGGTGCTGCTTTCTCTGCTTTTGAAGTGAAAATGTCAGAGCACATGTTATGTGCCTAAGGGCAGGAGGCTAAAGATGAAACACAGTAGCAAGAAAGAAACATCATTGGTTTACATTATTTCTTTTCAAAAACTAGAGTTTCTGAAATCAAATAGTGTTACAAAGAATACCCCACCATAAAAGCAAAACTGTATGTAGCACTGAAGAGACAAGCACTGCATTGTTATCTGCCCACACAATTTCATAAGACTGATAGTACTGTGCTAATACATATTTATTGATTCACAAACTAAGTGCTATGTGGTAGAAGGAGTGTTAAACTTTTAAACTTAGCAGATTCATTATCTCATCCTATTTTCAAAGGGAGAAAGAAAAAAAACCCTCAGATTTTTAGGACTAGCAGCAAATTGGAATTTTAATTAATTGGATTTCTGCCTATACCATTTAATCCATGTTAATTAGGCATATACTTCAAATTCAAAATGGAGCATTTTACTAATTTTAAAATTGTGTAAATAAAAGTAAAATTAAACATAATTTTAAAAATTGTGCCAGTCATGTCTACTTGTGTTTAAACTATTTCTACTAATAATGTCAAATATATTTTAAACTTTTCAATTCTCATGTTTCCCAACATGGAATTTCTCAGAGACCTTACTGCATACAAACCCAAGACATTGCTGCAGAAATACGTCAAAGTTTTGGCTTGAGGAAGTTATGTCTAAAGGTGTAAGTCAGTTTCTCTCCTAAAGTTATTAGCCCTGACTACACTGACATAAGGAGGCATTGTTACCTACCATTCTCCCAAGAACCGAAAACGTTCACGTCATTTGATACCCTGGCAAGGATCAAATTCAGTGATTTGGGGGATGTTTACAACCAGAGGAATTTAAAACTTTGATAATGGAAAGAAGCAGTAAGAGACAAATCAAAAAATAAAAACCCTGAACTCTGAATTCTCTTTTAAAATTTCATTTATCTCTAGATAATTCTCTTTAATAGTCATTTGATCCCATTTTTACACAGGCTTTATAGTTTCCTCATTATAGGTCAAAATTCAGACTAGTGATTCAGATGCCAAGTGTTTTAATTATATTATTCTAAGTCCTAAGGCATCAAAATGAGAATTTAAAAATATTTTTACACAAACAGTAATTGATGGAAGCTTTGAACATATGAATCTAAACTGTATAAACATTAGAATTTTTATTTCAAAATTCTTAGAATGTGTAACTACATGAAGTGACATAATATCTAACTAGTTCCATTGCTCAAGTTTCACTATGAAATTGGGATGATTCAACAATGTAATTCTAATTTCAGTTTTTCTGACCTATCCACTTTCAACAAAGGCAATATATTCAAGCTTAAAAATTTTACCTAGGTAAAGTTGATCTTTAGAAATTATGTTTTCTAAGCTGCTTTTGAAGATAGTTAAGTAGGCAGCTCTACAATTCATATAAAATGTCTCCTCTTCAGTTAGTAGACATTTCTTTGTTCGAGGACTCTCTGAAAGCACTGACTTCTGACTGGCAAAAGCTGCATCACTTCCTGGACCGAAGGCCATTCTATTAGAAAACAAAAGAGCGGTCAGATGAGACTCTTCATAGAGTTCTTATGAGGATTAAATCAGTTAATATATGTGAAGTATGTAGACCACTACCTGACAGTGGTGCTGATAGGTGCTAAATAAACCGCAAAGTGAAACTTCATCATAATAAAAATTTTCATATAAATCAATTGCAGTTGGCACCCATCCTCCATAGCAAGATCAACCAAATCATTTCACTAAAATCTCAGTAATATAATCCCATATTTTTAGATGTCCCATTTACAAAATTACCATGGGCTCTACTGTGGTCTTTTATTAATAATATTTTGGCTTTATATAGCATCTCTGCTAATAAGACCTAATAAACAGTAACATATTTTATCTCTACTACAGTGGTCAGGTATTGTTTTGGCCATTTTACAGGGAAAGAAATAGAGGGGGTTGGGAAACCAAGTGGTAGAGAGCCTGCCTAGCAAGCATGAGGACCTGAGTGAGTTCAAACACTAGGGGGTGGGGGCGGAAAAAAGAAACAAAAAACAAAAGAAATTGAGGGACAGAGATGTTTAGAAGCTAGCAGTAAGTGGTGATGAAGGGCAGCAAATTTCAGTAAGTTTCTTCTTTGTTAATGTGGATGAAGGGTTATTGAACAATGGCTACTATGAGGTACTAAATTGTGCTGGTGATCTTACTGCTCCCAACATTACTTTACCCTGCTTTGGTTTCTCAAAATGCATTCCCATCTAACAAATTGAATATTTCAAGTTCAACAATAAGATGACACAGGTAGGGTCCCCTTCAGGACTCATTGGATCCTTACTCAGGAGGCCTAAATCACTGGCACCTCCGTGAATTATATAGGTCTTTTACACTTGGGAAAGAAAGATAATAATCGCTTATCATGGATGAAGTACCCTATTTATAATACACAGACCGCCTGCCTGACACTTTCATATTACACCAGATTTAGAAGGACCCCACAGGGATGTGGTGTCACAGTCTGGTTCCTGCAAATTGGTACCCCTGTAATTAAGCATCCGAGTTTGAAACACACGTGTGTGCACGCATCTCCTCCCAAATGTGAAGAAACGGTTCCAACAGGGGAAAATGTTCACTTTACAACAAGTAATTTGTAAACGGACGTGTTCTTTAGGATACTCTTTCCAGAATTCTACCCCCCACCCTTTTCTGTGAACAGAGACTAAACTGGAGCTTACATAAATGTGTAATTGCACCCCTCGGGCTCGGAAACGTCCTTTATTTAAAAGTCCAGCCGGAGTCCCGAGACAGGGGCCTAGAGAGTCCACTGCAGCCAACGGCTCCATAAATAACCAGGCACACAACAGCACGAAAAATAAACTGTTAATAAGCGCCTAAAGGGCCAGGAAAGACGGAGCTCCATCCAGGCTCCGCGCTACGCAGCCCATCTCGGGCAACCTCACTCCATTTCGGTTTTCCTCTGGGCACAAACTGCATTATACGTAAATTTTAGGGACATACATGAACCAACTGTTAGTAGGACAGAGGAGTAAAGGAAGCAAGTGGGACCAGAGGAAGCCGCACAATGGGGGACGGGGAGAATGGAGAGACCGAGACAGTAGCTATTTGCTACCTAATTCCAGCTCACAATTCTCTTCCGCGATTCCGCTATCCTCTCACCGCAGCCAGACAGATACGGGCCTTTCTCTGGTTACCATGGTAACTGCTCCTCTGCGCCACCGGAAATAAGCTACGGAGCACCTCCGTCAACGATCCGGCTAGGAATCTAGGGAGCTGCGCTCCAGAGCGACCAGACAGGGTTCTGTTGAGGCTTTGTCGGGGGTGGAGAACAGTGAGAAGGGTTCTGTCTGGCACCCGGCAAGGGACTGGATGCGGTTCTGCGACTAGATTCCGTCCACACCCGTTTCCTCACACACACTCGGTTCCTTCCTGGCGCGGAGGGTGTTTCTGGCGGGTCGAGTTGGGTGTGACACAGCGGCCAGTGTCGGGTCCCCCGCGCTTTTTGGGCTTCCGCGTTTCTTTTGCAGGATTCTCGGTTCTCAGAGGCGGGTGATTAGTTGGAGTTATCCAGCGGAGGTGGTGTGTCCCTGAGTCTCGAAATGCCGTAGGTATCTCTTCCCCACGTCGATTTTAGGAGACCCCTACGAGCAGGAGGAGTAGATTTATGTAGCCCGATAGCCTTTTCTGTTTTTTTGTTTCCTATAAACTTCGTCGACAGTCCACGGTGCTTGGTACTCTTCAGCAGTACTCATCTGGTACCCCTTGTCCACTTTTAATTCCAATTCCAAACCTTCCGACATTTTATAGAGGCTGTGAGCTAGAGGTAGGCGATGCCTAGCTCGAAATACTTCTAGCACGGTTCACAGGCCGAGGTTAAAACACGGCCGGCCGAGTAACTTGTAAAGCCGTGTGAGTCCGTGTGAGCTGGTGGGGGGTTCGTGGACTGGGTCTCGGTACCGAGGTCTCACTGTTCGGCAAGTCACTTCTCAACTCGGTTTTCTTACTTATAAAAATAAGTTTGTACTGGATGATCTCTTAAATTTCCACTAGGTCCCAGTAATCTATTGGGGATGACCATACTGGGGATAAGCATTGTGCTGGATGATGTTTATTTGTTCTTCCGCTCCTTCATCCATCCTATACTGAGATGAAGAAAACAAACGCACATTTGGCGGCTCTCTAGGTACTTCATTTAAAACATCACTTAAGACTTTAGGGGAGGGAGATACCTAACACGTGGACCTCCCTCTCGGCTATCCCTTGTCCCGGGCTGACTTAGGTACTGCCCTGAAGAGAAGCATATTCATTTGTTATTTGGGGGTTTGAGTAAAATGCCAAGTGAAACAGCAGGAGAAGTATTTGTATTAAATAGGAATTGACATGAAAGAGGAGAGAAATAGTAACTGCAGAAATAAAAACCTACGGTTATTGAATCTTTTATCATCTGGATAATTATCTATGTTTTCTCATTGGATCCCCCCAAAATAGAACCTTAGGAAGTAGGTGTTGTTACTATCCTTACTTTACAGTTAAGGAAGCTATTCACCTAACGTGGTGTCCTACCCACAGGTATCAATAAATGCATGTTTTACTTGTACATTGAAAGTTATGGAATTTTTAGGAGGTTTTTCATCCCCCAGAATTAGCTAGTATGACTTGTCGTCCTATTGTTACATTAGAAAAATCACTGTTACTGCATATATGTAAAGATTCAAAGATAATGTAATAGAAAATCTCCAAGTAAGAATAGAATGACAACAAACTGATATTAGCTTAAGTGGTGATATGTTTCTGTTCTGTTACAGAAGTAGGGAACAAAAAACTACTAAAAGTGGAACTTTTTGTTTGGCAACTGGCTTAATGTATCAATAGACACGTTAGGAGAGTTTAAGGCAAATGCATACTGGTAATAAATACACAATCTTAAAGTTGACCAGATGGACATTATGTGTATAGTAACTGCACTGAGACAATATGATTTAGCAAAGTGATTAAGAACAAATTAGCAATTTGATACTTCATGAAGCATAGTGGCCATGTTAGTAGGGGAGCTCCATCCTTGTTGATAAAGTGTTTTAAATGTCTTAAGCTGTGACATCATAAATGAGGGTGGTAAAATTAGTCATCTTGGCAATATAAATTTGGAATCATTTTTAAGTGATGTTGAGATGATGACTTTTTGGTATGCACTTGCAAGGCCACATATAACTATATATAGGATAAAGGATCCTTTGTAATTTCCTTGAAACTTGACAGGAAAAAAACAACACAGGAAGAGTAATTGAGGAAATATATGTGGCCGAAATGAATCAAAAGTAGGAAAGAACAGATGTCTAATGACAATAAGTGGATGGATAAATCTTAAAAACATAAGGAATGAAAGAACCAATTTGTGCAAGACTAGTTATAGTATATTGCTTTTATAAAACATAAAGACAAAAATAAATTTATTTGGAGTTATATATGTATGTGATATGATTATTATGGAAAAAAGCAGGGAAATGACCATTACAAAATTAAGTTGAATGGTTGCCTTTTGGGAAAAGCAGATGAGAGGGAGAAGGAACACGCAGGTGCATCCATCCATATTGATAATGATCTCGTTCCTAGGAGGTGAGTTTGGGGTGCTTATTTTCTTGTTTCGTAAATTTGCGCATCTTACATTTATTACTTAGTGTGCATCACATATTACTTAAAATACTTTGGAAAAGATTTAGAGATTACCTATCTTAAGGTCTCAGTGAATATCGTTTCCCCAGTTAATCCTTTGGGAAGTCTTGGAACTAGGGAAACAGATGAATTAGACAATTGCCACTCCTGTTTTCTTTAGGTACTCTTCCCTTCCAAAGTTACTTCTCTTTGTACGTTGTAAAACTAGAGTCAATATAATCTCTCTATCTAGGTTGAAACCTTGATTGTTTTTAGACTTGAAGTAGAAAACCATAGACTTTGGGGTAAGATTTTTATATTTTTAAGTTATTTTTTTTTTTTTTTTACAGTGCAGGAGTTTGAACTGAGGACTTTGCACTTGTTGGGCAGGTACTCTACCACTTGAGCCATGCCACAACCCTTGGAATAAGACTTGAATCTTGTTTCTGTTAACTAGCCGTGTGGTCCTTAGATTGGTACTAAATGTCTTCAGTAAAATAGTTGCTCAATAAATATTAATTGAATGGTAAAGTTGCTTCTTTGAAAAGATTGTATACTATTATGAATAAATTTCACACCATGTTATGCTTACATAATACTAAAGTGAAATGTGATAGCTTTTGCTGTATAAATATCCCATTGTAGTGCTTTTTTTTTTCTATCTTCCATCTTTTCCTTATAAAGCTTCCTAGTTCTATTCCTTAGCCTTTCTAACTGTGTCATCATGCTAATTCAACCAACATCACTTCATCAATTTCTGTGATAGTTAACATTATTCTTTTCCAAGCTATATAACTGAAATAGTTAGAAAATTAAAACATTAGTGTTGGAGAAAAATGGTGTAACAATATTTTTCAGAGTAGGGTCCATCCTACAGATATATTTCTAAAAGTCTTGAGAGTTTGGGGTTGGGGTGTAGCTCAGTGGTAGAGTAGTTGCCTAGCATGTGCAAGGTCCTGGGTTTGATCCCAGCACCAAAAAAGAAAAGACCAAAAAAAAACTACAAAACAAAAAATGAGAGTTTTCTGAGAGAACTTTAAAATGTGTTGTTTGGTCCATGGTAAAAGAAAATGTACAACCCATAAGCACATTCAGGATCTGCCCAGCTATTTTTATTGCACCTGTTTGGGTTTGTAATCACATTAGTGCTAATGTCAAGTGCAATGATTTTTATTTTGTGGATAGATTATTTAAAAAAATATATGGGGGGTTGGGATGGAAGGGGTTGAACTGAATAAAGTATACTCACAGTGGGGATACATCAAGAAATCCCTTTGAACATTGACTTTGGATTTTATAATGAAAGACAAGACTGTAAAATAGGTACAATATGTGTGTGGAGGTACTTATGGGATGGGGGAGGATGAATGGTAGAGATGAAGGTGAGGGAATATGGTTGATGCGCTTCATATACATATGCAAAATAGAACAATGAAACTTCTTGCGATTGCTTTAAGTGGGGCAGGGAGAGGGTTGGGAGGATATGGTGGGGGCGATCTAGCCAATGTACAATGTAAGCCTATTTGAAATTGTCACAATGAATCTCCCTTGTACAACAAATATATCCTAATAAAAATGAAAACAGGCTGGGGCCATAGCTCAAGTGGTAGAGTGCTTGCCTAGCAAGTGCAGACCCTCAATTCAAATCCCAGTGTGACAAAAAGGGGAAAAAAGAGGAGACAAATGAAATTATGTGTTATGCTAAGTAAAAGTTAACTATTTAATAATCACTTTTTGAATCACAGATGATATTCAGAGTTATGTAATTTCATTTACTTAAAAATGTTTCTTGCATCTTTAAGGTTGGTAAAATTGTTAGCAATTACTATAAGTATTAAAAAATATGAAGTTTAAACATAATTCTTGCTATAAAAATCAGTAAAGTGGGCTGGTGGAGTGACTCAAGTGGTAGAGCACCTGCTTAGCAAGCATCAGGCCCTAAGCTCAAACCCCAGTATGACCAAAAAAAATCAGTAACATTTTAAAATTAGCATATATTAATTGTACAAAATGGGAGGTTTCATTGTGAAGTTTCCATATAACCCCTCTAATCACCTGCTCTGTTATTCTTTCTTTTCTCCCCTCCAAGATCCCCCCTTTTTTTACTTTCTTGCAATGTCTTTTTTTTTTTGTCCATACTGGAGTTTGAACTCAGGGACCCACAGTTGGTAGGCAAGTACTCTACCACTTGAGCATACCCCTGACCCTTTTTTGCTTTTAGTACTTTAGTAGGGTCTCACATTTATCCCTGGGCCAGCCTGGATCACAGTCCTCCTATTAATGCCTCCTGTGGAATTGGGGTGACAGATATGCATCACTACACCTTGCTTTTACTGGTTGGGATGGGGCCTTGTAAACTTTTTATCTGGGCTGGCCTCAAAACAAAATCCTCCTGATCTCTACGTCAGATACCATACAAAGCCTCTTGCAAATTTTTAAAGCAGGTTTCATCATGACCAGTTCATACGTGCATACTTTGATCATATTCTAACCCCTCTTTCTTTTCCTCCTACCATCTTCCACTGGTCCCCACTTTTATGTACATGTCCTTCTTTTTTTTAGATCTAGGTTCTACATATAAGAGAAAATGTGGTATTTACCCTTCTGAGAGTGGCTAATTTTGTTTAACAGGATAATCTCCAGTTCCATCCAATTTTTTTGAAAAAGATGTAACTTCATTGTTTTTATTAC